GTTCAGGCTGGCCTTAAACTCACGGTGACCCTCCTACCTGAATTTCTAAAATTTTATACAAGGAATTAAACCATAACAAAACTAAAGAACCTTAAAGAGAACATAACTATACTGTACATATAAATTTTTGTTTGTTGTTTTTTGCAATGGGTTCTTGGTGTGTTCCTCAGGCTGGTCTCCATCTCGTGGGCCCCAGTGACCATTCCTCTGCAGGTTCCCAAGCACGTGGGACTACAAGCGCATGCACACATACCAAATTTTAATTTTCTGTGGCAAAATAATACCTTAGGGTTCAAAACCCAACAGTGAACTTTGAGAAAAATTTGCAAAACACTGGGGCCATTATATCGCACCACCCAATAACCAATTGCACCACTGGAGCTCCGAAGCCATTATAAAGAGCTGTTACTAATCAACATAAAGAAGACATAATAGCAAATCTAGTAGCAAAATATGCCAGTTTGGTGGACATGAAAATACTGTCTTGCAGTGGTCACACACGCCTGTAATTCCAGCACTTGGGAGGCTGAGGCAAGAGGAACACCGTGAGAGCCAGCCCAGGCGATACAGTGAGTTCAAAGCAGTCTGAAATACATAGTGAAATCCTGTCTGAAAAGAAAAAAGACAATGCTGTCTGCTAATGAAGAAATGCAAATGACTATAAAAGTAGTCCCGGTGTTTTATGACACAGTATAATAACTCAGTGGGCCTTATAAATAAACACATGTGTAGTTCCCTATAAGAAATACCTTATAAATAGACACATCTGACAGTTTGGGGTCTTAAATGCCCCTACAGTCTCATTCTTAAAGGGTTGGTCACCAGCCGTCACACAGAACAGAGGTGGTGCAAACACTCGGAGGTGGAGCCTAGTGGAAGTTACTTAAATAACCGGGAAATGCCTTGAGAAGACCCTGGGCCTCCCACGGCTCCTGTCTCGCCTGACTCCCACCAAGCATGAAATGAGCCATTTGGTCCCCCGTGAACTGTCTTCCTTCTTTTTTTCTTCTCTTTTTTGAGACAGGGTCCCACTATGCCACTGAGGCTGTCCTCAAACCTGAAGTGATCCTCCTGCTTCAGCCTACACCTGCAAAGATTATAGGTATGTGCCACTCCACCAGCAGCTTTCTGCCGTGCTATTCCGCCTCACCACAAAGCCAGAGCAACAGCATGGGCTGACTATGCCCTGAAACCTCTGAAACCATGAGGCAAAATAAACCTTCACTTCCCCTTTCCTTGTGCGTTGATTTGTGTCCCAAATGGCGAGGATAACAGGAGTATGCCAGGCGTTTTCTCACACCCACAGGAAGCTAACACAGAGACAGAATGAAAACGTTCTTGCCAGGAGAGGTGTCATCTCGAAAAGTAGAGACAGCAGCCACCTGCCCTCCCGCCAGACCGCGCAGAAGTTTTGCGGTGAGTCTCGCTGCTGCCTGGAGAGGTGGGGAGGGGGACGGGAACAGTGGCTCACCTCAATTTTGCCCTCCTTGGCAGCCAGCTTCAAGGGCGTGAGGCCCTGCAGGTTTTGGATGTCCTCAAGCTGCACAGTGGGGCAGAGGCGCGCCCCTGCCCTGAGGAGTTCGTCGTACATGCGGATCACCAGTTTGCTGTTCTCTTCAGAGTTGTCTGCGATCATCACCAGGGCATGCAGAACGGTGTTGCCCAGGGAGTCGGCAGCCTGCAGGCTGGCGGGCTGGTACGGGTTCTCCAGGAGGTAGCTCACCACATCCCACTGCTTGGTGCACGCAGCCAGAGAGAGGGGCAGCTCCCCTGTGGGCCAAGGCGCAGCCTGGGTCTCGGGCATCCGACTTTCCATCTGCCTACTCTGCCTGCTTCTCTGACGGGAGCCCAGGCCTCTGGGAAGTGACTCAGGCCTCTTTCCTGTCTGGGAGTACAGAACCAGTCCCCTGCCTCTTGATCTTCTTTGCCAGAACACAGGCACATTGCCCCTGAATCCAGCCTCTGCCTGACTGAATACTTCCCTTGATCCAGGGCTAGGGATGTGACCCAGGGCCTTTGCCCCCACATGCTAAGAGGGTCTCTTCCACTCAGAGGCACCCCAGCTCTCCTGGTTGACATAGGTCGGTTCTAGCATGGCCCCCACCCCGGACCCAGTCATGCTGAGCCTTCTTGATCAAAGGAGGATAAAATCATCTAAGACAATTTGCTTTTTGAGGCAGCCTAGTAGTTAGAAGCTGGGTTTCAGGGTCAAGCAGCCTGGGGTAAGTGCCGAGTCTTCCACATATTAACCTTGGGACTTTGGACAGGGCCTGTGTTATGGTTTAGGGCTAGATCTCCCGCAGTCTCATGTGCTCCTAGGTGGGCTTTGGAAGGGGCCTGGATTGTGGGGCTTAGAGCTGACTTGCTGTCGGGAGGGAGGATCTGACCCATGAGCTAGGCTGCTGGGCGCGCGGCCTGGTTGTGTCTCTTCCTCATCCTCTTGAGCTCTCTGCTTCTCACCGCCAGGCCATGA